GCCGCGGGCACGCGTGGCCCCTGGGCTGCAGGACGTGGCCGGGCTGGCCCGAGCGGGGGCCCCGGGAGGAGCGGAGCCCCGCGCCACAGGGGGAGGGAAGCCCGGGGTGGGCGTTGGGGGCCCCGGTCGGGTCTGGCCGTGACGCCGCGCCGCTGGCCCGCAGGAGCGGGACGCGGTCCGGGCGGCGGCCATGGCGCTGTTCGGGGACCTGGTGGCGGCGATGGCGGGCAGGGAGCCCAGCAGCCTGCGCGCCCAGGTGCACCAGGGCCTCGTGCCGCTGCTCCTGCACCTGCGGGACCCCTGCCCCGCCGTCGCCTCGGTCAGTGCCTGTGGGGGCCTTTCCCTGCGGGGCTGGGGGCCCAGGGGGCGGGGGCTGCGGAGCCGTGGGTCCGCCGGGGCAGCAGGGTGCTCCTGCCTTGGTTTCCCCAGGGGCCCGGCTGGGTGCGGCTGGGAGGAGGCGGCACCCCGGCCGGCGGGGACGGAGCCGGGAGCCAGGAGGGACAGCGCCCCCTGCGGCTCCCTCTGGCCCCGCCTCAGCCCGGCCCTCTGGCCAGACCCCGCGGCGGCTGAGCGCTGCCCCTGTCCCCGCAGCGGGCCCGGTTCGCCTTCTACCGCTGCGCGGCGCTGCTGCGCTGGCCGCAGCCGCACACGCTCTTCTGCGCGCTGGCCAGGGAGCGCCGCCTCAGCGCGCGCCACTTCCTCTGGTCCCGCCTGGTGAGGGGGCGGGGCCTGGGCGGGGCCTGGGCGGGAGCGAGGGGCGGGGCAGGGCTTGGGTCTTGTGAGGGCGGGGCTTGGGGCTTGGGCGGGGCCGGGGGCGGAGCGGGGTTGAGGGACGGGGTGGGGATTGGGAGTCTGGGGCGGGGCCGGGGGCGGGGCGAGGGTAGGGAGGCGGGGCAGAGAGCTGGTCCTCGCGAGTGACAGTCTGGCTGTCCCGGCCAGATGACCCAGAGCCAGGAGGCGTTCAGCATCCACCTGTCACAGGCCCTCAGCTACCTGCACAGCTGCAGCCACCGCATGCGGACCTGGGCAGCGCTCTTCCTAGGTGCCCGGCGCCCTCGCTTGGGGACCCGCACCACCTGAGCACCCTGGCCCTCCCACCCAGCACTGGCCACGCCACTGGCCCTGGGTGCCAGGGCCCACTAGCAGGAAAGGGGGTGGGGCCTTGGAAGGGCAGGAGTGGGTCTGAGCCCCCACTCCGCCCTCCTGGGAGCCCTTCCCCAGCCAGCATGCCTCCTCTGCCCGCACAGGCTACACCATCTGCTACCACTCCCGGGCCGTGGCCCAGCTGGTGAGCAACGCGGACCTGAAGCTGCTGCTGTGCAGTAAGCAGCCCCCTGCTGCCACCTGGGACGGGGCCTCGCCCACTGGGACGGGGCCTCGCCCACTCCGCCCGAGGCTCCGGTGGGCGACCCCGTCCAAGTGGGTGGGGTTGGGGACGGAAGCCCCGAAGGCCTGGAAGGCGGAGGAGGTGGGGCCTGGGCTCACCCTGCCACCCACACCCGCACCCACCGGGCGGGGTACCTCTGACGGGCCCTCCTCTCCTCTCCCGAGCTTTCGAGAATCTCCAAAGGGAGCGGGAGCCGGGCATCCTGGGATTCGCCGTCAGCCAGTGCCACTTCCTCCGAGACTTAGCCAGAGGGCAGTGACCTCCGCCACCTGCCTCCCTCCGCCGCCCCCAGGGCTCCACTGGTCAGCCCCGCCCGCCAGCACAGAGTGGTAGCAGACATTTTTTCATTTGAAAGAAAGATCTAGATTCCACAAAGACGCGTCATGCCTGTCAGCTCCCTGCCCACCCTCCCTGGCCCCAGGGGACCCAAGCCAGCCCGGGAGATGCTGACGGGGCCAGGGGCCAGGGGCCGGGGCCGGGGACAGGGGACAGGCCAGGCCGGGGGTGTGGGCAAGCAGGCCAGGTCATCCAGAGACAAGCTCAGAGGCCAGCTCCTCCCACCACCCCACACCCCGGCCGAGGGGCCCTGGGCTCCGGCCGCACAGTCTGCAGGGGGGCTCCAGCTTGGACCCCGTAGTCACCCAGGTAGGAGTGGGGATGTCCCCCTCTGCCCTCACCCCCATCCTGAGATGAGGGTGCCAGGCAGACTGGCCCCAGAGGCGGACCTGCCCGCTGGGGCCTGGCCCTCCACTCAGAGGCTGAGTCCAGGGGTCCCCTCCTGGCAGGGCCCTGACTCCCTGGAGACCCACCTGACCGGAGCCTGGGTTTCCCACTCCGCCCTCCACACCTTCCACCGGGAGCACCTCCCCCCCGAAGCCCCTGGGTCCCCCCATCTCATCCTCAGAGGCCCAGCCTGCCTGAACCCTGTCCCCCACCCTCTTCAGCCCCCACCACGTCCTAGACCCGTGGTTGGCACACCGCGGCTCGCGAGCCACATGCGGCTCTTTGGCCCCTTGCGTGTGGCTCTTCCACAAAAGACCACAGCCTGGGCGAGTCTATGTTGAAGAAGTGGCGTTAGAGGAAGTTTAAGTTTAAAAAATGTGGCTCTCCAGAGAAATTCCAATCGTTGTCTTGTTGATATTTGGCTCTGTGGACTGATGAGTTTGCTGACCACTGGGCTAGACAAACCCCTTGCCTGCCACCCCCACCCCCACCCCACTGACAGGAGCACTGGGCCCACACCCCCAGCCTGGCCTGTCCCCTGTCCCCGGGGGCTGGCCCAGAGGAGGCCCCCACTTGGACGGGGGGTTAAATACGGTGGCTTCCTCCCAGGACCAGTCTGTAACTATCCGTCTGTGCTTCTCCGTCCCTCCTCTCCTCCCCTCACAGGAGCCTGGTCAGGGACATTCCGGGGCCTGGGGCTCAGGTGGGGTGGGGGGGTCCGGGGATGAGGGTAGTAAGTTACAGGTGCCTGGTCCCTGGGGCACCCAACCAGAACTAATACCCTATTGTACACCAACTGTCACTGAAAAATAAAGATGACCTTCAGCGGAAAAGCACAGCAGCCTTCCTGGATCCATGCTTTTATGGCGTCTCAGACGGGTGTCCTCAGACGCGGAGGGAACCCTTCTGCCATCTCACCGTCCGCCAGTCTCCGCGTGGAGCCCCAGGAGGGCCGGGCGGCGGCTCTGGCAGTTCACTGCCCGCCTTGCCCCCGCCCTCTCCGGCCCTGGTGTGGCTGCGGGGCACTCCTGCGGGGCCGAGGGGCTGGGGCGGAGGGTCCAGCCTGGCGGGTGTGGTCTGGGCGGGGGTGCCATCTCCCTCTAGGGCTCCCTGGCCTGGCCTTCAGCCACCCTCTGCTGGCCTCTGGGCGGGGCAGGCAGGCCTCCTCACTGCCTCGTCACTGTCCCCCCGAAAGCTAGGGTCCCTGGCAGGAGCTGGTGGGCTGCCCCGGATGGGGTCCCAGGAGCCACTGGTGAATGGAGAATCCCTCAGGGAAACCGAGTCTGGCAGTGGGGAGGATCCCGGTTCCTGCCTAGCTGGGTGGCCGGGCTCTGCCCAGCGGGCACGGGGAGCTGGCCCAGGCTGCACACCAGGGCTGGAGAGGCCAGGCCCGAGTCCCTGTGGGCCCTCCACCCAGGGCCCCAGCAGGTGCAGCCCCAGGGCCCCCCTTCGAGGACAAGCAGAATGGGCCATGTGGGGGGCACCTGCCCCCTGGGGGCCTGTCTCTCCCGGGGCCTCGCCACGTGCCTGCCTCCCAGAGGAAGAAGCGGGGACCTGGGCGCTGAGCATGGGTGCTGGGTGCAGGTGGGGCGGAGGGAGGCCCAGGCCAGGCGGCCCGAGGGGATGCAGGGAGGTGGAGGCAGGTGGGAGGCAGCCTGGAGGCCGGGCCCGGGGCTCCTACGCAAGCCAGCAGGTCCTAGCGGCGGGGAGAGGTCAGCCAAGACCTCTGGGGGTGTCTGAGGTGAGTGGCAGTCCCCGGGGAGCAGGGTCCCTGGGGCAGACCACCCCCAGCCCCCAGCCCAGCTCTCCCCTCATCCCCCCGCCGTGTCCGCGACCTCCAGGCCCCTCATCCCCAGCCAGGAGGCCTGGCCCCAGTCTGCAAGACCCACCAGCAGGAGTGCTGAGCAGCCCCGTGGCCAGGCCCAGCTCCCCCAGGGGGCCCGTCACCCCGCCCTGGGCCCCTCCGCCTGAGCCACCAGCCACCCTCACCCCCTGGTCCTCTAAGGCTAATGGTGGGCAGGGCAGACAGTCACCCACTGGACACCAGGCCTGGCCTCACCTTCTGAACTCCAGCCCCCAAAACATCGCCATGGCAACCAAGAGGCCCTGGCAGAAAGCTAGGGAGCGCAGGGACCCAGCATGGCCACCAGAGGGAGCCCCAGTACAGCCTGGACACTGCCCTCCCTAGGGCACCCCACCACCTGGCGGCCCTGCCCCCCACGCTGCACACACACACACACACACACACACACACACACACACAGCACAGGGCCCTGTTTTATTGCCTTCAAGTGTCCAGAGCAGCTGACGGCCCTCAGACCCACAAATCCAGGGGCTGAAACAGCTCAGGACAAGGGGGTGCAGAGGGGTCAGCCCAGTGGTTAAAAGTACACCCGCCCCCACAGAAGGGGGGACAGGGAGGGGGTGCAGGGAGGGTGATGGCAGGAAGGCCAGGAACATGGCTCTGGACCAGGCCTCAGAGACAGACACGGGACACGGAGACAGAGACCGGCACAGAGGGACGCAGAGCAGGGAGGCAGGAGACAGGATGGATGGGACAGTGGCGGCCGGCTGGTGGACACGGAGGCAGACAGAGACAGGTGGCAGGTAGGCAGGCTCAGGCGGGCTGACCCGGGAGGCAGGCGCCCCAGGTGCCGGGAGAAAGGCCGGATGGAGGTGCGGGGAGGGGGGCGCCGGAGCGGCCTGGGGTGGCCCACACGAGGCCCAGGTGGCGGACCATCTCAGCCCCACGGTGAGGGCGACACCCTGGGGTGGGGGACAGTCACCACATGGGTCCCAGGACCAGGCTGGCCCCTCCCGGGGTGGGGGCATGGAGACTGAGGCCCAGAAAGGGGGCAGGGCGGAGGGGCAGGGCAGTGGGCCCGGCTGGCTACATGACACAGCACTTGGTCCGGGGCGCGTGCGGCTCCCGGAACCGCAGCCTCTGCTTGGGCCGGTACTTCTCCAGGTAGGTGAGCTGCTTGCTGTTGATGGCTCCGCGCCGCTTCCTGGGGAGACGGACAGAGTGGGGTCAGGGGGGACCTGCCTCGGCCCCCTGCCCGCCCCAGGCAGTGCCAGACCGGGAGTCCAGGCCACCACCCAGATCACCCTCCTGGGCACCTGCCACCCCTCCCCCCCACACTGCCTTCAACCCTGGCCCTCGCCTCCTCCCGGTGGCCTGGACCTCCCTACCTCCACGGTCCCCACATGCCCACGGCCCCCATGTCTACCCAGGTGGCAGCCCGCCCCCAGGCCATGGGCGCCTGAGAACAAAGCTCAAATCTGCTACCGGGCGGGAAGACCCCCGTTCCCACCGCCCAGGACCTCCCACGTGGCCGTGGACGGGCTCTGGCCAATGACATGTGAGTGGGAGAGACACACATGTGCCCGGCGAGGCTCCACCATGCTTTTCCCTGCGACCCAGCGACTAGCAGCCAGACAGTCATGAGCGGGGACACCGGGTGGTTCCCAGGGGCCGGGGCTGGGGCTGGGGCTGCTCGTTACTGCAGCTCGGCCCAGCCTGTCCTGACTACAGGGGCTGAGAGGCCACAGCCCCAGAGGTGGAGCAGCCCAGCCTTCCCTCCACCTCCCCTCCCCAGACTTCTGCCCCAAGGGGAGGGGAGCGGGGGGAGAAGGGAACCACAATATGAGGCTGCGTGAAGCTGGGAGCCCCTTAAATCTGAACCCTGAGCTGTCACCAACCACCCCCCAGCAGCCGCCACTCACTGCCGGATGAACTGGATGGCGTCCTCGTACTTCATCCCACTCTCGATGAGCGCCAGTGCCACGAGGACCGGGGCCCTGGGGGCAGACACGGCCGTCACCCAGGCCCCGCCCCTGCCCCCAGGCCACCGGCTGCAGAGCAGGCCCCCTGCCCTCCTCGGACAGGGCGGACGGCTGCCCCGCTCGAAGCTCAGGGCCACCGCCTGGGCCCAAACCCTGCTTCCTCCCGGCCAGCACCTCTCCGTGCGGGGCCGAGGACAAGGGCTGGATTCTCAGCGATCCGCCTCGCTCGGCCGCCTGCCCTCTGCAAAGCGGGGCTGTCTCACGCGGACGCAGACTCTGAGTCTGGGGAGGGTGGGGCCGGCGGCTCAGGCGCAGAGAGGAAGCTGCTGCCACAGCAGGAGGGAGTGAGGTCAGACTTCAGGAGGGACTCCCCGCCTGCGAGCCCGGAGGCCCAGACTGGGGACCCTCTGGAAGGGTCATCTGTGATGTGAGTGAGTCAGACCACGAGATTCCTGTGTCCACACGCCCCTGCCCCGGCTCACCGTCCCAGGCCGGCCACGCAGTGCACGGCCACGCAGCTGCCAGGGTCGTCGCAGAACTTGGCCTTCAGCAGGCTCAGCCAGTCCTCCACCACCTTGCCAGGCGGGGGCGCCCCGTCGTCAAAGGGCCAGTCCTGCAGAGGGGGGAGCCTGAGGACCCTGCGCGGGGGGGGGGGGGGGAGGGGGGAGCCGGGCCTGTCTGTCCCCCACCCCCAGACCCGCCTGCCTGGCTGCCTGGTCTACCCTGAGTCCTGCTGCTGCAGGGAAAAGGGGCCACGGGTCCCGGTGCCAGGAGGCCCTGCACGCCTGCCTCCATCCTGCCGGGCGCCCACACTGCACAGGGGGGACCCGGAACCACATACTGGGAAGGGGCAGAGGCGGGACTCAGCCCGGCCATGGGACCCCGAAGCTCCAGATCCTTCTGCCCCTCACCAAGCAGAGGTTCCCAGGTGATCACCGCCCAAGGCGGTCCTCGGTGGCCAGCACCTGGGAACCTCTGCTTGGTGAGGGGCAGAAGGGTACCTGGTACCTGCCTCACAGCACTGCCAGCCCGACCGAGAGCCCAGCCCCGGACAGGGAGCCCAGCCCCTGGGAACCTGAGGGTCCCCAGGCACCGGGGGGCGGGCGGGGCCTGCTGGGCACCCTTTGTGCCTCCTGCCACGTCAGGCAGCCCTGGCACAGCCTCCGCCCTCTGCGGAGATGGGGTCCCCGGGGCCAGGGACCAAGGAAACAGCCCACACTCCCTCCCAGTGGGGCTCCCCGGCCCTGCCAGGTGCGCCTGCCCCGCCTCCTGCTGCTCCCCGCTGCCCAGCAACAGGCCCGCACACAGGCCCGCACACAGGCCCACACACAGGCCCGCACACAGGCCCACACACGGGCCCGCACACGGGCCCGCACACAGGCCCCGCACACAGGCCCGCACACAGACCCACACCCAGGCCCCGCACACAGGCCCACACACATGCCCGCACACAGGCCCACACACATGCCCGCACACAGGCCCACACCCAGGCCCGCACACAGGCCCGCACCCAGGCCCCGCACACAGGCCCACACACGGGCCCGCACACAGGCCCACACGCAGACCCACACACAGGCCCCGCACACAGGCCCACACGCAGACCCACACACAGGCCCGCACACAGGCCCACACACGGGCCCGCACACAGGCCCGCACACAGGCCCACACACGGGCCCGCACACAGGCCCCGCATACAGGCCCACACGCAGACCCACACCCAGGCCCCGCACACAGGCCCACACACATGCCCGCACACAGGCCCACACACAGACCCACACACAGGCCCGCACCCAGGCCCACACCCAGGCCCACACCCAGGCCCGCACACAGGCCCGCACCCAGGCCCGCACACAGGCAGCCGGGCAGGGCGGGAGGCAGAGGATGCAGAGGGAAGGTGACTCCTTTGAGGTCACACAGCCCGAGGCCTGGGCCTCCCTGAGACGTGTCCTAACACATGCGTGGCCCGGGCACAACCACACGGGTGGCAGGCGGCACGCAGGGAGACCGGGTACCTGCCTCACAGCACTGCCTAGCCCGACCGAGAGCCCAGCCCCGGACAGGGAGCCCAGCCTCGGGCAGGGAGCCAGCCCCGGACAGGGAGCCCAGCCCGGACAGGAGCCCAGCCCCGGACAGGAGCCCAGCCCGGGACAGGGAGCCCAGCCCCGAACAGGGAGCCCAGCTGCCCGGACAGGGAGCCCAGCCCCGGACAGGGAGCCCAGCTGCGGACAGGGAGCCCAGCCGTGGACAGGGAGCCAGCCCCGGACAGGGAGCCAGCCCTGGACAGGGAGCCAGCCCTGGACAGGGAGCCCAGCCCGGACAGGGAGCCCAGCCGTGGACAGGGAGCCCAGCCCCGAACAGGAGCCCCAGCCTGGACAGGGAGCCAGCCGCGGACAGGGAGCCCAGTCCCGAACAGGGAGCCCAGCTGCCCGGACAGGGAGCCCAGCCCGGACAGGAGCCCAGCCCCGGACAGGGAGCCCAGCCCCGGACAGGAGCCCAGCCCGGACAGGGAGCCCAGCTGCCCGGACAGGAGCCCAGCCCGGACAGGGAGCCCAGCTGCGGACAGGGAGCCCAGCCGTGGACAGGGAGCCAACCCCGGACAGGGAGCCAGCCGCGGACAGGGAGCCAGCCGCGGACAGGGCCCTCCGGCACCACGCGGGGCGCTCACCACCACGGTGATGCCGTCCTTCTCCAGCAGGGCCTTGTCGTAGGTCACCTCGCACACGCGCACCACGGTGGTGGCCCCGTACTTCTTCAGGTCCTGGGGGGGGGGGGGGGGGGGGCAGGGCTAGGCGGGCTGCAGGGCTCAGGGTGGAACCCCCCACCACCACCACCAGAGGCCAGAACCTGGGGGAGGGCCGTGCCTGCCCCCCAGTCCCTCCTCACCCCGCTCAGCAATCAGAAAGGCCACCCACCAGCCACGCGAACTCCCGATGCCCCGGCCACTGCGCCCTGGCCCCTGGCCGCCAGCAGGAGGCGCCCCGCCCGGGCTCCCGGAGCGCAGCCTCCTGCCTGTCGCTTCCTCTGTCGGGCGCAGGGCCCAGGAAGACCAGGGACCGGGCACCACCAGCCACGCGTGGGCCCCCATGACCCCTCACTGGGCGGCCCTTCCAGCAGGGGCATGGATGGCCCATCAAGGGGCACATCCAGACCCCACACTGGGGCCGAGAGTCTGGGAGGGGCACCGGGGCGGGCACAGTGGGCTGAGAGGGCGGAGGAGGAGCTGGGTCTGCACCCCGGCAGGGAAGCCCGGGAAAGGTCAGGGCAGTTCACACCCAGCCCGGGATATTTATACCCGGGGAGGCATCCCCTTTGCCGGCCGTAGGGGCGGCTCCACCCCACCTGCTCCCGGCAGCTATTTTGGGGACGGTGAGGCATCAGCTGCTGGACCGGCTCCTCATGCGACAGGGACACTGGGCACAGCGAGGGCAGGAGGGTGCAGGCTCGGAGGCCATGGGAGCCTGGGTCCCTGTGCCTGCAGCAGAGGGTGCTGCCACCCAACAGGCCAAAGCCTGGACCCCTAGCCTCATACTGACCCTTGACCCTCAACACAGACTGACCCTTGACCCTGGCCTCACTCTGAGCCCTGACCCTGGTCACACTGAGCCCTGACCCTGGTCACTCTGAGCCCTGACCCTGGTCACTCTGAGCCATGACCCTGGTCACACTGAGCCATGACTCTGGTCACATGTGGAGCGCTGACCCTGGTCACACTGAGCCCTGACCCTGGTCACACTGACCCTGACCCTGGTCACACTGAGCCCTGACCCTGGTCACACTGAGCCATGACCCTGGTCACACGTGGAGCGCTGACCCCGACCACAGGCTGAGGGCTGTGCCCAGTCTCCTCCTGGGTCCGATTGTCACAAGGGCCTCCGCTGAGAGGGGACAGCCCTCTGAGGGGCCCCCGGCCCACGTCCAGGGCGCCCACGGCCTCCCCACTCAATGCTCACGCTCCCTGCAGGCCCAGTCCCTGTGGAAGGAGGACCAGCGCCCGCTGCAGAGGGAAGAGGCAGCACAGCCGGGCCCTGGGAGCTCAGGGCTTCTCCAGGAGGCCGTGAGGGACGGAGGCCACATCTGCTGGAGCTCCAACCCCCGTCGCCTGCCTGCCCTCGGTGTGGGCTGCGGCCCAGCCTCCCCCCACACACAGCAGCGCCAGGAGGCCCCAGCCCAGCGCCTCACCGAGGCCTCACCAGAGCCTGGGCGCCCGGGGGCCTGCCGGGCCCTGACACTGGCCTCCACGTCACTCCACCCCTGCCTGACGCAAGGCTGTCAGGGCCGCAGCTCATCTGGGGGCCTCCCTCCTCCTTCCAGCTCAGCCTCTGCAGAAGCCAAAGGCCAGCCAAGGGCACAGGCTGCTCCCCCACTTCTGAACCTGGTCCCCCTGCCCCCACGCCGGCCCCAGGAGCCCCCACCCCGAGCTCCCGGGGATCCTGTTACCGCTGGGCTGACAGCGACACATCGCTCCCGGGAGGCCGGGGACCGCGTGGCCGGGCGGCCACTCACCTCGATGAAGGTGCTGAGGGTGGCGTTGGTGGGGTTGTGCGTGATGAGGAACCGCATGTTCTTGTAGCTCACCTCCACGGGGGCCGGCCGGTTCATGCGGGCCATGGCGGTGCGGGACACGGCGGGAGGAGCCCCCGCCCCCCCACCCCTGAGAACGGATCCCTGTGCTTTACAAAACCTGCCCCACACCCCGCACAAATATTGTGCAGATACCTGGGAGGGGGCAGGACGCGGGGTACTTAGAATACAAAACGCAACTCTTTACAAAAGGAAAAGCAGACCCAGCCCCCGCCCGGAGGAAGGCGCGTCCTCCCCCTCAGAGACGGGTCATTACAAAAGGGCAGAGAGAAATGTCAGCCGAAACTCAGCCAAGAAAACGGCAGAAAGCCCGAGTCAGTCTGGCTGCGGTGTCCGTGTCCGGCGCGGTGCCCGTGGCTGGGGACGTGGTCCCGGCATCTGTGGACGGTGGCCAACCCCCTTCTCTCAAAGGCGGGCCCGAGCCCCAGGGACCGGAGGAAGCCGAACTGGAGCAGAACCAGCAGGCCTGCTTGGCAGGGGCGCAGGCGGCGGCTCTGAGCTCAGTCCTCCGTCTCGCTACCCCATGGGGGCTCAGCGAGGCCTGGCAGGGCGCGGGCGGCTCAGGCGGCCCCAAGCTGGGCGGAGGCCATCGGCGGGCGAGGGCAATGGTGGGGGCCAGAGGCGCGGGGCCCCTCAGCAGCGGGCGCCGCGATGCTGGACCCGGCAGAGCTCAGAACTGCCCCTCCCGGTCCTCTCCATGGAGCCCAGGTCGGTCAGCGGGCGATGTCTGCGGGCAGAGGGAAGGAGGAATGAGAGCAGAGGCCACGGCCCCTGCTTCCCCCTCCTCCCCCCATCCCGGCCCCGAGTGCAGCACAGAAAGGACAGCCCCTGCCAGGCTGAGCCAGGCCCTGAGGGGACAGGAAGCCCCTGGACAGAGCAGAGAGGGAGAGAGGGAGGGAGGGAGGCAGGGAGGAAGAGGGGGGTCAGGGTCCCTCTCACACCCAGGACAGGCCCCTGCCCGCTGTGGCACTCCTGAGCCAGATGATTCTGGGGCGGCCAGTCCTCAGGGACAGGTGCTCAGGCGGAAGCACTGGGACCCCTTGAGGGAGGGGAAGAGGCCCCACTTAGCACCAACCACCGCAAACGTCTCTGCCCCAGCTGCTGTGCCCACAGGGCTGGCGGGCACCGAGTAAACAAGCCGGCTCTGCCTTCCGGGAGCCCAGAGCGCCAAGGCAGCCCTCAGCGGCCAGCGGGTGCCCTCAGGCACATGCCCAGGTGGTGACAGCACAGCTGGCCGGGAGCAGGGTCACTGTGATGGGGCCCGGGAGGAACACTGCCGGACCACAGGCGCCATCAGTCCCTGCACCCCGTCTCTCCCTCTCTGGGCCCCACCCACAGCAGCAGCCCCACTCACACCCCACATGTGGGCCAAGGGCCTTGGGCATGCCCCTGCCTCAGTTTCCCCATCTGCACAATGAGAGGCCAAACAGGATGCCCCTAAGGTCCCTCTGCTGTGACCCGGGCGCCATGCCCGCACGCCTAGCCGCTCCCCCAGCTCATTGGTCTCCGTGCCCCAACTCACCACCTCTTACCTCTGCCCTCGCCCCTGCACCCCCTTCTCCAGCTGCCCGCTAGGTGCAGGGAGGGCCCACAGCCTGCGACCCGGGATGTTCTGGGCCAGCTCTGCTGGGCTCTTGGGCTCAGAGCAGATGCTGCCCCCTGTGGGGACCCCAGGAGGGGGAGGAAGGCAGAGAGGAACCCTGCCCTGGCTCGGCCGTCCCGCCTGCATCGCAAAGCCGGGGAGAGACAGCTGTGGACGCCAGAACTATCAGCGAACAAACACCTGTGCCTCTGGGGCAGCGGAGGTCCCATGTGCATGCGTGTGTGTGCGTGTGCGCGCGTGCATGTGTGTTTACTAGCATGGAGAAGGGCCCACCACCTCCTGCCCTCATGGCTAGGCACCTGGGAGACCCTGTGGGTGGCAGCGCTGGCCTGGCTCTGCTGCCCGGGACCCAGGCAAGTCCTCAGGGCAGAGCCGCCCCCATCCCTGCCCACTTGAGCCTCAAGTTGCCACGTGTCGGTGGGGTCAGGTTAGACTGGCCAGGCCAGGGGGTCTGGGCAGAGGTTGGACCAAGGCCACGACCCAGCTTGGGTTCTCGCCTCACCCCCATCTGTCTCTGAAGGTCGGGGCTCCCAGCCCCAGGGGGAAGCCAACAAAGATGCCCCAGGGCTCCGCAGGCCCGGGGCCACCCCCGGAGGCCTCCCTCCGCACCACACCGCCCCCCCCCCCCCGGGGTCAGGGAGCAGGATCCCCAGCGCAGACCAGGCCCACCAGCCACCACCCCAGCCACCACCCCAGCCACCACCCCAGCCACCACCCCAGCCACGGGAGCCTGGCCCCTCCCCTCCCCTCCCGGACCGGCCCCCATGCCCTCCTGAGGTGCCCCCCGTCTAGAAGGACAGTCTCTGGAGACCTGTTGGGGGGCCCATCAGCGTCCCGCCTGCAGAGAGGAGCAGGCCGGGCCGGGGACCAGAAGTTCCAGTTTCCTCCTCAAGCTCAAGTCCAGGCGACAAGCACAGCTCCCAGCCGGTTCCGGAGGGGGGACCCCGGCCGGCCCGTCCCCCCTGTCTCAGCCGATGAGGAGGGCCGGCCCCTGGGGCCCAGAGCCCGCCGGACCCAGAGCCGGGGTGGGCGCTGAGGACCGGGCACAGGCGCCGGGGGAGGCGGGGCCCGGGAGCCGGTGCCCGGGAAGCGCTGCCGGGCGCTCCGTGGGGGCCGCCGGCGCGGGGCGCCCCGGGGCGGGCGGGGAGGCCGGTCCGAGGCGGCCGCCCCGGGCGGGCTGGGTCCTCCCGCCGCGCCCCCCGCCCGCCGGCCCCGCTCACCAGCGCGGCGTCCCGCCGCCTCCATCCGCGGCGGCGGCCGGACGGAGCGGGCGGGCGCGGGGCAGGACGGGCCGCTCCGGGCTCCGCCGCCGCTGTTCACGGCGCCGGGTCACGGGGCGGAGGCTGGCCGCCGGCCGGGCGCGGCGCACCTGCCGCCTAAATATACCCGCGGCCGCGGACAAAGGCCGAGGCGAGGCGGCGCGGAGGGAGGGGAGCGCAAGGGCAGAGGGAGGCGCTGCCGGGGGCGGGGCGCCTGCCTCCCGCTCCGCCCGCCCCGACCCTGGGCTCCCAGAGCGGTCCACCGCCGGGCTGGGGCGTCCCGGGGCGGGGGATCCGGGGGATCAGGGGGATCCGGGGGGTCTGGGGGGATCAGGGGGGTCTGGGGGGATCAGGGGGGCCTGGGGGGATCAGGGGGGTCTGGGGGGATCAGGGGGCCTGGGGGGATCAGGGGGGCCTGGGGGGATCAGGGGGGTCTGGGGGGATCAGGGGGGCGAGGGGAGTCCGGGGGGGGCCTGGGGGGATCAGGGGGCCTGGGGGGATCAGGGGGGCGAGGGGAGTCCGGGGGAGCCTGGGGGGATCAGGGAGGCGGGGGGAATCCGGGGGGCGGGGGCCTGGGGGGATCAGGGGGTGGGGGGATGGGGGGGATGGGGGGGCGGGGGAAGCCGGAGACCTGGGGAGATCAGGGGGGCGGGGGAATCCAGGGGCCTGGGGGGATCCGGGGGTCTGGGGGAGTCCGGGGGAACCCGGAGGGGGAGGGGTGAAGCGTGGCGGGGAGCAGGCTCCTGGGGGCCCTTAGCACAGACCAGCGTTTTCTTGCTTGTTGTTTGAAATATATTTTGATTGATGTCAGAAAAGAAGGGAGAGAGAGGGGGCATGGATCGGCTGCCTCCCGCAGACCCACTGGGGATGGAGCCCGCACTCTGAGCGGGAATCCAGCCATGGCCTCCTGGTTCCTAAGTTGATGCCCAACTACTGAGCCATGCCCGCCGGGCTGCACGGGCCAACGCGGAAGGTGCAGAGAGGCTGCCCTGGCCCCGGGGTAACCAGGCTGACACCCCAGGACGAGGCTCTGCCTGCCTGGCCCTGAGGCCCACCTGCTCAGGCTCCTGCTCAGGCTCCGGCCTCACGCTGAGGACCCTGCCGCCGCCTGAGCACCTACTGTGTGCTCCACACACCATCCCTCCCGCCCTCTGCGTGGAGCAGTGGAGTGGAGGAAGGGAGGTGCTGGGAGCCATGCACAGGCCCACAGGAAGGTGTGTCGGGCGGGGACCCCACATCTGCTTGTCCTCCAGGGCTCAGTCAAGACGCCTCTCCCTGGGAACCCCGCCAGGATTTTCCCAGGCAAAACCGTCCCCAGGGGTCCTGGCGTGGCTCCCACAGGCAAGTGCTCCTGGGACAGGAGCCCCAAGAGCAAGCGCACTGAGGTGATGGTCCGCACCCTACCTGCCCAGCCAGCCCAGAGGCCCTCAGAAATGGGGGGCCAGCTGAAACCGGTTTGGCTCAGTGGATAGAGCATCGGTCTGCGGACTGAAAGGTCCCAGGTTCGATTCCGGTCAAGGGCATGTACATTGGCTGCAGGCACATCCCCAGTGTGGGGTGTGCAGGAGGCAGCTGGTCGATGTTTCGTTGACGTTTCTAGCTCTCTATCCCTCTCCCTTTCTCTTTGTGGAAAATTAATTAAAAAAATCCACCCTTGCAGAAGTTTGGATTTAGGTGAGGGATGGTGGATACTTAGAAAGAAAGAAAGAAAGAAAGAAAGAAAGAAAGAAAGAAAGAAAGAAAGAAAGAAAGAAAGAAAGAAAGAAAGAAAGGAAGGAAGGAAGGAAGGAAGGAAGGAAGGAAGGAAGGAAGGAAGGAAGGAAGGAAGGAAGAAATGGGGGCCGGCAGGGAAGACCCCTGGAACACGGGTCCCAGGAGGCCGGGCCTGGCTGGGAAGCCTGCTCTGAGCCCAGCCCAGCGCCCAGACAGCCCGCCTGGCCCTGCAATCAACAGCCAACTCCGCGGGGCCCCTGGCCAGCACCCCTCCCGTGCCCATCTTGGCCGGCTGTGGCCGTGGCCATGGCCATGGCCTCTGGGCGGCAGAGCCTCCGGGCAGATGAGACAGCTCCACCCACCAGCCTCCTCCTCCCTCGTCCCAGTGACTGGCCCCTCGGGCTCAGGGATCCTGCGCCCAGGACCCAGAACCCACCCTAATGCTCAAGCTG